GGCATTGAACAGAGACTATCCAGGAAGCTTTGCCTGACCAATCTAGGCCTCCTGAGATAAAGGATTGGAAAATCGTTATCTGGATCCTGTAAATCATAGACAAGGGTTTCTGATCTTGGCTGTTAGCTCCAGTTTTTGAGCTGTAATATACCACTCCTGTCCTCACTTCTCTTTGCTTTCCCTGTTTCCTGTTCCTGCTTCCCTTGTTTATGTTTAGAAATGTGATCTTTAGGCTCTAGCCTGGGCTATGTCTGGTTGGACCATCAATCATCTATTTATCCCAATCATCTATTTAGAGATGTGCTCAATCTTTATGCCAGTCCAAGAGTAGGCTTGTCTGAGCAATTTGCTCTTCTAATTTCTCCCAGATCCAGGATTACAGGGCAGCTTTGAAAGAGAAACCCCATTGGGCTTGTACATGGCAGGTGTTTAGAAAATTATTATTATTATTTTTTTTGATTTGGAGTCTCACTCTGTCACCCAGACTGGAGTGCAATGGCCGCTCCTGGCCACCGCAGCCTCGACCTGCTGGGCTCCGGCGATCCTTCCGCCTCAGCCTTTCGAGTAGCCGGAATTACAGGCGCGTGCTACCACGCCCGGCTGATTTTTTGATTTATTGTAGAGATGAGGTCTCACTGCCCAGGCGGGTCTCGAACCCGCGGGCTTAGGCAATCCACTCACCTCAGCCTCCCAAAGGCGCGGGATTACAGGCTGAGCCACCGAGCCCGGCTTCGAAAATTATTTTTGAAGAAATTGATGCATTTCAATGGAAAGAGTCTTAAAATATGCGAGTGGAGGGCTGGGCACGGTGGTTCACACCTATAGTCCTAGCACTTTGGGAGGTCAGTGCAGGAGGATTGCTTAAGCCTAGGAGCTCAAGACCAGCCTGGGCAATATAGTGAGAACTCATTTCTACAAAAATTTTAAAAATTAGCTGGATGTGGTGGCATGCACCTGTAGTACCAGCTACTCAGGAGGCTGAGGCAGAAGGATTGCCCGAGCCCAGGAGGTCGAGTGAGGCTGTGGTGAGTCATGATTGTGCCACTGCACTGGGGACGGAGCGAGACTCTGACTCAAAAACAAAACACAACAAAACAAAAATCAGACAAAATAAAATGTGAGTGAAGAAAATGGCTAGAAAGTAGTGAGTTTAAATGGTCATCATTTAGTAAAGGACATTAAGAGGTCAAATAAGTGGACTGCAACTGTGTTTTGGTCTCAAAACAACCCCAGAGGCTTGGGGACTGATAAGGATTCTGTCTGGGCCTAAAATTTACTGTCTGTTCTAATATCTGCTCTGAAGACCTAGTAGAGGGAGCAAATCCACCCAAATGGGCTGTTTAGTTCTCTGGGTTGTTTCAAATGAGTTCCAGTATTCAAGACTTGGCTCAAAGAGCATGTTCTCTCTCAAACAGAAAGCTGAAAAGGCCCTTTTAAGATATAGGCATTCATTTCCTCAGGGCACAAGAAACAGTCCATATAATATAATGGTTGGAGTATTGGAAGACAGGCTCCCATGATAGACAACGGCTTCAATACTTTTTAATTTTTTATTCTTTCCTTTCTATTTTACAAGCCCTTGTCTAGGGCTGACTTTCAATAGATTGCCGCAAGGGAGCTGCTCTGCTCTGAACGAAACCCTGACCCAGAAGCAGGTCGTATACTAATGGTTTAGCACCAGGCTCCCCACGAACGTGCAGTGCATGACGGGCGAGGGGGGCCGCCTTTCTGGCAGCTACCCATGTCGCAGGAGGAGGGACTCTCTGTACCGGTCCTAGGTCCCAACACATGGTTGGGGGCACCCCCCCATGGGGAAGGGGTGTCCCGCTGGTGGCTTCGATATTTTGTAGCTGTGTAAACTAATGCTGTTTGCTGCCCAACAAGCTTTTATTTATTTACTTATTTATTTGTTCATTAATTCATTTGAGATGAGGTCTCCCTAAGTTGCCCAAGATACTTTTGAACTCCTGGCCTCAATTAATCCTCCTGTCTCGGCCTCCTAAAGTGCTGGGATTAAAAGTATGAGTCACTGCACCTGTTTCCACCAAGCTTTTCTACCCCACTTCTTTGGGTAACAACTTGCCTCTCTTGTCATGAGACACATAACTCAACATTGCCTGTCTGTCATGGTATTCCATCTACCTGGAGCAGTAGTTGGTCCACAGGAGGCATATAACCAAAGTAGAGCTAATCAGTAGAGCTAATTCTTTCTTGGCTTAATCCATATACTGTGAGAGAATGTATACACAGCTACAAAGCATTGAAGTCATTGCCGATCATGGGAGCCTTGCCTCTAACACACTAACCATGCTATATGGACTGCCTTCTTGTGCCCTAAGTAGATGGATTCAGATATCTTTTTTTTTTTTGAGTTGGAGTCTCACTCTGTCACCCAGACTGGAGTGCAGTGGCCGCTCCCAGCCACCGCAGCCTCAACCTGCTGGGCTCCAGCGATCCTTCCGCCTCAGCCTTACAAGTAGCCGTAATTACAGGCGTGCGCCACCACGCCCGGCTGACTTTTTGATTTATTGTAGAGATGAGGTCTAGCTGCCCAGGCGGGTCTTGAACCTGCAGGCTCAGGCAATCCACTCACCTCAGCCTCCCAAAGGGGAGGGATTATAGACTGAGCCACCGAGCCTGGCTGATTCAGATATCTTAAAGGGCCTTTAAGTTCTCCTGTTTGATTAAGTCCTCCTTATCTGCGATAATGTAAGCTTGGGGCTGCTGGCTACCATCTTCCCTACAGTGGAGAGAAATCAGGTGAGTGAAAGTGTATTTACTAAGACAGATGTCTAGTACTTATTAAACACTTAGAAAATGTTAGGTTCCCTTCACCATAAGCCTTGTAAATTCAGTTATCAGTCAAAAATTTTCTTGTTCTTTAGCTTTTTAGATGGTTCATTTTGGGCCTCGACTTTACCTATTGTCTCTATTTTTTTATTTTCCCCAGCCAGGGAACTAATCTACATGGGCCTGAAGAAGTGTTAGTCGAGCAAGTGTAGCAGAGGAGTTTCCTAGAACTGAAGACACAGAGGTAAACAAGACAAGTCTTTGTTCTCAAAGAGTTGATACTTTTGGGGGGAGATAGACAATGACAACACAGTATACCATGTGCAATGATCAAATTGAATACTGGAGGCTGTGGGTGGAGTGAGTAGAACTTCATGGAGAGATACAGGGCAGGGGAATGAAACTTTGGTCTGCATGGTTGCATGCTCCATCCACAGCATCAGCACAGGTAAAGTTCTCCAGGCAGCTGATGGTTCTGGTACCACATGTAAATGCCCAGCTTCTGTGCTACAGTATAGACTGGTGCCATGTTGATTCCTGTTAATGGAGACTTCTGGATGTTCTCTACAAGTACTGTTTTCCAGAGGACAGAGCTATGAGGCCTGGATTGCCCAAAGACAGTTAAGATTCCTAGGGAGGATGAGATCTCAGACTGGAAGAATTGGTGGCGGGGTGGAGGACCGAGGGGCAAACAATAGCAGTGGCTGGAGAACAGGCGTGGACAGCCTGGAAGAAATATAGATACTAGAACAACAGCTCCAGTAGCACCATTCATTAATCTGTCCTCTCAAAAAGCCTGATTTCTCAGCCCTATTGGGGAGAATCTTTACAAGGAGATAAAAAGAAGTCATGTATGACTTTACCTTGTCCATAAGAAGCACCAGTCACAAACAATCTGAGAAAATGCTTAGTTTCACTAGTGGTTTTAAAAATGCAAGTTAAAACAACTATGAGGTGTCACCATTTCCCTTTCAAATTAGCAAAATGTCAGGTCTTCCATTTCCTCAGAGTTAGAAGGGTGCGGACAAGCAGGAACTCCCAGGCACTGCAGGTGAAATATAGGTTGGAAAGCAGTTGGCCTTAAAATGCTCATATCAGGCAACCCCTTCAGGTCCTCTCCCACTGTGGGAGCTTTTCTGTCCTCTCAATAAATCCTACTTTACAAAAATAAAAAATAAATAAAATGCTCACATCATTTGGTCTAATGATTTCACTTACCTGTCCATTCTGAGAAGGGAAATTGACAAATGGAGGCCATAGTAGACACCTTTTGGAGTATCTTCCCAGCTCACAACAATTCACCCTTCTCTGAGAATAGCAGGACCTATTCACATCAGTGCCTTCCTTATTCCAGCCTCAAAAGTGGAATCTTGATCCACTGACCACTGTTGGTTGGACTGGGGAAGACACCTGACCAAACAAGGTCAATTATACTTGTCTTTTTCACTTAGGAATTCCAGTTTAGTTTGGACTGATATCTTGAATGGAAGATGTGTAAAAATTCAGGAATTGTATCAGGGCTATTATCCTCTAGACGAACTAAAAAACAGAGAGGCCAATCTGTGGGGAGAGAAGAATGGGGCAGAGACATGGAGAGAAGCAGAGATAAGAGACAGAGACAAAATATTCTCTGAAGCATTCCTTGCACATTCCAGTCACTTTCTGTATTCCTACCTCGTATTCTGTGAAACACTCCAGTATCCTTTTAACAGCTTTATATTTTGTCCTTAAGCTAGCTTGAGTAGGTTTTGATTACTTTCATCCTAAAGCTTATCATAGCCTTACTGATAATAAGGGGATAATTCAATAAATAATGATACATTATTTGTATAGTACATTGTCAAACTGCCATTTAAAATATTTTTGGGCCGGGCTCGGTGGTTTAGTCTGTAATCCCAGTACTTTGGGATGCCAAGGCGAGTGAATTGCCTGAGCCTGCGGGTTTGAGACCAGCCCAGACAACCTGGCGAGATTTTGTCTCTACAATAAATCAAAAATTAGCCCGGTGCAGTAGCGCAGGCCTGTAGTTCTGGCTACTTGGAAGGCTGAGGTGGAAGGATCACCGGAGGCCAGTAGGCCGACGCTGGGGTGGCAGTAAGTGTGCCAGTCCACTCCAGCCTGGGCAACAGAGTGAGGCTCCAACTCAAAACAAAAACAAATAACAACAACAACAACAAAATATATATATATGTATATATTTTTTAGCCGTTGCTCTTTAACTCCAGTGCCCCTCTAGCTCACCAAGCTCCAGGTGAAGGAGAAGGAGGTTAAGTAAGGAGATCTTTATACCATGACCGGTACAAAGCAGATTACCTGCAAATCCATCAGTGGTAAAGCACCCAGGAAGCAACTGGCTACAAAAGCCACTCACAATAGTGCGCCCTCTACTGGAGGGGTGAAGAAACCTCATCATTACAGGCCTGGTACTGTGGCTCTCCGTGAAATTAGATATTTTCAGAAGTCCACTGAACTTCTGATTTGCAAACTTCCTTTCCAGCGTCTGGTGCGAGAAATTGCTCAGAACTTCAAAACAGATCTGCGCTTTCAGAGCGCAGCTATTGGTGCTTTACAGGAGGCAATTGAGGCCTATCTAGTTGGCATTTTTGACACCAGCCTGTGTGCTATCCATGCCAAACGTGTTACAATTATGCCAAAAGACATCCAGCTAGCACGCAGCATACGTGGAGAACGTGCATAAGAATCCACTATGAGCCGGGCTGGGTGGCTCAGCCTGTAATCCCGCGCCTTTGGGAGGCTGAGCTGAGTGGATTGCCTGAGCCCGTGGGTTCGAGACC